GGTAAGAGAAAAGGGTTTGGACTTGAAGGTTTAGGTCAGTTTTGGGGTCTCAATGTTTGTAGTAGAGATTTAAGTTGAGGGTTTTGAGTACAGAGTTTTACAGTTAGCCTTATGGTTCGGATTAGTGTTTGAATGTTTTGGTTGGGATTGGTGTCTTATGGTTATTTTTGAGCATTAAGATTACCTAGCGAAGACACCAACCAGGGGCCTGTTACGGAGGCGAGACTCCCCATGCATTCACGGTAGTGGACGAAAAAGACAGACCAGCTGAGTCATAAATACAGCCAAGCAGACCGGAGTACGCCACTCTCTCATACCAGCCGCCCACGCCGTGAGCCGAGCGAACGACACGAACGCCCACATAGCGGGGGGCAGCCGTCGTAGTCGAGATGAGTCTAGAATGTCTGGGCGCATACCATACGCTAGGAATATTCTGGAACGATCGGAGCGATATAAATATGCCGGAGTGGACAAGTTAAAGGACGCCGCAGACCGCGCAAGTCCCACAGTCTTCGTGGGCTGTCAAATAAAGCCATCGCCTATTAGAACCGCTCCTTGGGTTTCTTCTACCTATCAGTCGGGTTAGAATAAAATGGGCTATAACAGAGCCCTACGCTGATTTCTATGTCACAAATGTCAGCGATGCCGTGTGTTGTTGGACTTATCCTGGCTAGCTCAAGAAGACACGCTTGGCGGCTTTATTTTTTATTTTGTTAATTATGTCTATACATCCCTTTGGTTTTTTGTGTGTTTATACTGGTTTCGGTTAGGCGTTGGCCCGTGAAGAAGCTAAACAGCCAATTTCATTTTAATTATCTTCTCAGGTACGCACTTAAGGCGGCACTGGGCTTAAACAAGAGGATGCGGTAAATGCAATTATTTGGAATTTATTCTTTGCAAAGTATGCTGTCAATCGCTTGATTTAGCCTCGAACACAAAACCTCTACTACTTCCATTACCAAACGGCAGGCGTCCTTCCTTCCGTTGGTAGCTACATACTCTACCGCTGCAAAGAACGAGGCCAAATAATTCTAGAGCCATTGATCTTGCAGATCCCCAAAGTGCAACACTGACGACCATTTTTGCCTTCTTGCAACTTACCAGTAAAGTCAGCGTTGCGCCGAATGGGCAGATGACAAACCTTCTAATTTATTATTCCCATGGAAAAAAGATGTGAAATTCAAAATCCAAATTTGCAGTGAAGTAGGACGCCGTTTGAGAATGCTACATATATGAAACTATGACACACACACAGGCAATCGCCCATACAAAGATGTCATACAAGTTAGGAGGATTGCGAGCCATTCAGAAGGTGTGACCTTGGAACAAGGATGCTATTTGCCTCAAGTTTCGGACTCCCACTCACAGGCATCATCAGAGACGGCAGAAAGGTATATCCCTCTTATAAGAATAAGGCGAGGTAAGGATTGCCTTAATTGCCTTACCCTCCCCCGCCCCCCCCCGACAGGAAAGGGGTACATAAACCGCATATAATGCGGATAACTTAACCCGGGGTATTAGAATGAGAGTTAAGATTAAAATTAAACTAAGTGATGGGACACGGCAATATTTACTATTCTTGCAATTTTGTAAAAAACCATCTGCACTATTTGAGCTAAAAACGATATGTGCATTCATAAAACTCCGTCTGCAGCAAATTTTCCTAAAAAAGGCCTTTTCTAACGAGCTCTACTAATCATCAACCTTTACCTGAAAGATCTTGCGACATTTTTTGCTTAACCTTTCTGATTCGTACCACCACTCCCCCCATTCCTAATGAACAACGGTCACTGGAAGTGGACTGGACTTCCACTGGAAGTCAGTGAAAGTTATAAGCTTTGATCTTAATAAAGCCTTCGACAAAAATTGATGCCCTTCGTCATCCGACCTTCTCTGCCGGATTTCGTTGCGTCCGTAATATTCCACGTATTTATGTATTTACTCCAGTAGATGGATCTTATGCCACGTTTGATTTCTTCATTCTTATTTCACCGACCCTTTGCTGTGAGTGGTCGTTTTTGCTTACTCTTTTCGACTGGCCCAGGGCTGCTTGCTTTTTGTGTGAAAATACGTAGACAACCTCCTTTTGCATTCTCCTCATGTATCGGTGCTTTTTCTTAGCAACTTTTTCACCAACAGGCGTAAGCCTATTTTACCTTAATAAAACTGAACGGAGCTAGTTACTCATTTTATGCATGTTCAACCAAATTTGAAGGTTATTTTTACTGTACGTTGGCCATCAATGGTTCATAGTAAAATCGCTTAATTAGCTAACAACTGGGGTAGAATCATAATGCCCTTTGACACTAGCGGTTAGAGTCGACATTCTGCACGCTATTATGCAGTGTGGTTTAGGTTTCGGTATAGGAGCACTTAGTATTTGTAAAGAGAACTACGGACTAAACGAACTCCACTTACAGCTTACGAAGAACAGAAAATATGGACAAGGCCACTGAAAAGGTTCATTGTAAACTAAGATTATAACTCACGGTAGCGCAATCCTTCTATTTTCTAGACATTTGTCTCTTTGGGCTTGCAGACTCTCTCGATGGGCAGTTCTCAGGGATGCTTCGAGGATGACGCGCTAAAAATAACAATGGGCTGTCTAATTGTCATCAATTATGTTTTCCAATAATCACTTTGAAGTGAAACAGGACACAGGCTAGACTTTCACTGATTAAGCCGCAGACCTACTGCGGTAAATGCAAACCCCGCCTGAACAGTAACAAAATGCATGCAACTGACGATAAGAAAGAACAGTTTTCGAAACATCGGCAGTTATCCATCGAAATAACCTTCATGGGACTTCAAGATGTAGCAATCTCCGAAAAGATCGGCACTTCCCAGCCGAGAGACGAAAGATAAACCGAACCTCCAACTGATCGAATTGATCAAACAGATATCTTATGGTCAAAACATGGCTTCGGCAAGAGAGAATAATGAAAGTGGGTTTGGTATATTCAGTAATACGCAATATAGCACCCCAATTTCGTGTGAAGTCACGATGTTGCGGATTTCCTTCGAAAAGGGCACTCTATACAAAATGAATGCTTAAATAGTAGTCATCCTCCTGTAGAATTTCAATGACCTTGTGAATACAAAGATAGTTTTTT